TTTTCTCCTCAACTTCTACGCCTCTGTAAATTATGGTTTTGAGAAGCCCATTCGAACCGCCAATGTTTTCTATACAAAAAAGGTACTCTTGGTCATAAGCTCTAAAGTTGACCGTTTTCGAGAAAAATCAACTTTTATGTTTAAAAATATGGTCAACAAGTCCTGCGCATATATTATGAAACACCCTGTATATTTATAAGAAAAAAACTAAAATCTTTAAAACAACGGCATATATAAACTTTAAATAAATAATATTCTTTAAGTGTCCAATAGCTATGTGGTTTACCGATACGACCTGGAATAGCAGAAGAAATGTAATTTATTGCATTGTGTGACTACAGTAAACAATACTAATCCAAAAGATATGCTACCTGCAGTGGTAACAAATAAAGTAAATTCTACCACTTGAAGGAGCGATATGTTAAAAACGTGGTATTTATCTTTTGGTCTCTGCGTTATAACATTATAAGAAAATTAAAGCTAACAAATTAATTATCAGGATTGAAGAATAGTAAAAGAAACAAGAAACACTAACCAACTTAACTGCTTTGTTTACAAACATTTCTTATAAATATTAACATTCTGCAAAATTCAGTTCCCATAGTGTAAATGACATTTTGAGTGGCACAAAGGATGCATGGTAGGATGACTTTGGACGCGCAATTTTAATTGCAAAACGCATTTCTGTGTCAAGTTAATGGTATAATCATCAAAAAGGGAAGTAGGCAAATTGCCTGAGGCAAGTCTAAAGAATTTATCGTGTCACATTGACGCTGAAAAAAATTGCCAACAACGCAAATAATGTCGGAAAACGCAGATAATAAAAGATAATAATGGCAAACGTGACACTAGAACACAGAAGATAATGGGGGAATTTCTACAGAAATATTCCGAAGACTATACAGTGTGAACCAAAAATACTTTGATATGAAGACACTTTTGGGTTGGTATTTTTCAAAAACCTGAGCATTTTGTTATATTGTTAATGTTTTTTGTTGAAAAGTACACGTAAAAGTAGGGATGTTATTGTTGTGTTCATTTATGTTATGTTTATGTTGTGTTTATGTTATGTTTATGTTATTTTATGTTGTTTGTGTTATGTTTATGTTATGTTATGTTTATGTTGTGTTTATGTTATGTTTATGTTAAATGTAAAATCTGGTAAATATATGGTGAAAATTAACAAGTATTTTTTTACTGTGTATAAAACTATAATCATCTGTGAACTACTTTTTAAACATATTAAAATAATATGTTATATCTCCTAATTAGTGATGTTTATCATAAAAGACATTTATTCGGTAAAATTCATATGTATGCAAATTTGTATTAGAGAGGAACTAAGCTCTAAACTTTTGTGTTTCGGCATCCAATTTCCATGTGAATGACTGTAACAAGGTTCAGATGATGATCATAAATTGTTCAGAGAGCGAAAGACAAATTGTCTATTCGCTGTGTTGTGCTCCGTGGATCATGGGCTTTAAACTCCCTCAACTGATTTTAATTTAAACACAATGTTTCCAACAACGTATGCATACGCAGTGGCGGTCCCATAAGAGGGTCAAAACATAAAATTCGTCATACAATATTTGTATTATATTAATCAAAGAAGAAATTACGAAAGATAACGCTTGTTGTTTGTAACGCGCAAAATAACAATAGCAGTACACGGTGCTGTTCTGAGAGGTGATTTTTGGACTTTCTGTGAAACCAAATTTTTTTTTATATTCTTGTTAATTATGTCATAACTAAAATTTTAAGAGCAAAATAAAAAAAATTTGACGGTTAATTTTGTTTTAATTGGATGTTTATTAAAAATATGTATGCACACTTTCAATTCTCCAATTAAAACTTGCGATTTTATTTAAATATTATCATAACTTTTTAAATCAGATTAAAGATTAGTTAATTTCCTAAAAAAAGGTTATACATTTTTTATATCTTTTACTGTTTTATGGTAATACACGTTTAAAGTTTTAATTTAAGGTTAAATGTATAGTATACATTTATTAAACAATAATTCTAAGGGTGCCACATTTTATTTAGGGCCGATTTATTTATTTTTGATTTATTTGACGAATAATTTCTTTGGATACCTACTAGATATTACCAAGAAATGAAAGTTATCGGCCCGATAAACTTTACTAAAGATGAATAAACCGGTCCTTAGTTAAATTTCATGAATTTCTTCGTAACTTTTACTACAATTTTTCATTTTTGTTTATAAAAAACACTTTAAAAAACTAAACAAAAATTATAGAATACGTATACTGAAAATGACAATTCAAACGTCAAATAAATTTTTAATAGATCTAAGTTTCATGGCAACCTTTAAGGATATATTAATTAAGGGAACATAAATGTACCTATAAGTCAAAGGTTAGATTAAAAGTTTGAACGTTTATTGGAACAAAACAGTAAAATATATAAAAAAAATTGTAAAAACCTTTTTATTAGTTATGCAAATATTAAATATTTAAATTAAATCGCTAGTTTTAATTGGATAATTGAAAGAGTGCATAATATTTTTAATAAACAGCCAATTAAAACAATTCAAACCGTCAAATTTTTTTATTTTGCTGTTAAAATTTTAGTTATGACCTAATTAACAAGAATATAAAAAAATTAGGTTTCACAGAAAGTCAAAAATCACCTCTCAAAACAGCACCGTGAGTAGTTTTATCATCAGAATAGGTACATATCTAAAAAAAAAAAAGTTAAATTGCCTTCAAAAAATTCCTAAAATCCTCAAGAATGACAAATCTGGTACATTTAGGGCGTGGTCTACACACATAACTCAAAATTAGATCCATATAAGCCAGTTAAACTTTTATTGGGGATTAAACAGATATAACAAGCGGTCAGACGGCCGTTTCCGTTTAAGCGACAATGAAACGCATAAATTCAATACCATTGTACACAAAAAAAACCGCCCATCTTTTAAAAGGCACCGAAAACACATTTTCGACATGTTGAGTCAGGTCACTTACGGAAAAAGTCGCAATTCGCTGGAATATAACAAAATTGGTCGCGAGATCTAGGGGGGCTGGGTTCGCCGACCTCGGCCAAGGCCAACTGCGCTTTTCGCTAATGAACTTGAACTGGCTATTGGAACTTACACGTACACGCACACTTGAGATTTTGTCGAGAATTTTATTGGGAATTTTAATTGTGAATATTTGTGAATTTTATTTAAAATTTAAAGTCTTTGTATAAAATAAAAAAAAATATTTTTTTAAAAACTTAATAATTTTATTACCACATTATAAAAAGTAGCCGTTGAACGGCCCTAAGATAACATCTTGATCTTTTACCCTCTACAAGTCATGATACTGCTACTTAAGGCACTTTATGTGTTTGTTCTGTGCATTTTAAGTAGCCGATATTTTATCGCTTTATACAAAAAAATATCATAAAAATGCTGCACTGCCTTGCATCACCCTGTATAATTTAGAATGAATAAAGGAGAAAGTAACAATTTTGATAATAAAGGACAAAAAATACAAATAAATTTGATGATTCAATAATTATTTTACATTGTCACTTTAATGCGTTTTAATTTTAATTCTGAAAACAAACAGTAAAATGGCAAGTGTCCAATTACTGCTTGGTAAAAAATGTAAATTTATATTATTGGACATACGTCCAATATCATACTCTATTTGTATACCGGACATTTACCAGCCAATTCTTTTGTAAAATTGTCCCCTGAATCAAAAAAGACCGTCAAAAACTATAGTCAATTGCATATTATAAAATTGATTATATTTCAAAAACTGTTTTACTTTTATAACTTTTGACGAGAATTATTAGTGGCTGCTTTTTCGCTTTTTTCGACATTTTTAGAGAGTAAGTAATTTAGTGATTTCTTCGTCACAGGACATCTTGCAGAATAACAGTGATTTAAATTAAAAAAATATTTAACAATTTATGTTATTTGATGTTAAGTTGTTATGTTTATATAAATTTTGTATGTTTTTATAAAACTATTATTAAACATTCAAATATTCTTATTTTTAAGTAAACGTAAATAAAGTTTAAACAAACAAACTATCCTTTTTATAAATTTATAAGAAACAAACTAAAATCTTTAAAACAACGGCATATATAAATTTTAAATAAATAATATTCCTTAAGTGTCCTGTTGTGCTGTTTACCCTATATTTTTGTTAAAATTATATACACCCTGTATCTCATTAAACATATTTTATAAGATACATACAAAAAAACAATAAAAATTATTTGAAAATTAAATCGTAATTTTTGCTAAATAATAAAGAAATACATTTTTTTCTGTATACGAACTAGGTTATACATAGGAAATGCATTTACATTCCACACCAAACAACATTTCCTGTGACTAACCAAGTAAACAGTCATTACCATCAATAATAAATATCCACTATCTCGCCTAGCTATTTATTTTGAAAATCGAAAAACCATTCTGGAACATTTGTTGAAGATTATAATCTCCCCTTAGACTGTTTTGTGTTTTCGAAAGAATCCCGAGAATTTTGTTATGCATTTCGACGTCAACGCTGCACCAAGAAAATAAACTGAAATCGTAAACAATTTATTTTATCTTGCGTGATATAAAACATAAGTTTAAGAATATGCAGACCACAAGATTTATTTATATCTAGTAAAACAATTTTTTATATATAGGTACTCAATATGATAGTTGAGAACAAAGGAAATCTTTATTTTTAAAATGTTGGGGATGAATTGCGTTATATTAAGCAAAATTAACATTTTTTTAAATCGAGAAAACGTTTATAAAAATGTGAAATTGTGGTGGAGGATTTTTTTGAATCAAGATAGCGAGTCAGCGCCAACTCGTGCAAATTTAAAGCCAAACATGGCCGCCATTGTGTGGAAGATTTACCACTCTTTATTTCAATAAAATAACTTGCTTGGGGGTTTTTATGAATGAAAGTGGTGTGGAAATACGTTGCATTGGGTATTTTTGAAGGTTTTTATTGTAGGGGATGTGTACTTACCTCATATTTTACGCCGGCAAGCCTGAGCCAGGACTCAACTTTCAGACAATATGGTGACAGGGACGGCAGAAGGGGTGTGCGTGAGAATTGGTACAGATACACGATATCCTTTTCGTAGTTCGATTTGTGCACTACCACTTTAGGGGGTGCGGGTTCCTTCTCCTTAGAAACAGGCGCGTCTCCCCCAGCATTCTCCTTTTTCTCCACAGCCGCCTCTTCGGCTTTGTTGTCTGCGGCGGGCGCCTCTTCTTTGATTTCCTTCGCGTCCACTGCGGGAACGTTGTTTTCGACTTCTGTAGCCATTGCTAGTCAAAGGGGATTCTCGAACACTTAACAAACACGCGACAGCACACGGTACGGACACAATGAACTTGCAGTCGGCCAAACGAGCAAGACTGGAGTGGCGAACGCTGGAAAGAGGAGCGCGTCGGCGGCTAGGCAGCGAAGTGACGTCACGCGAGTTTTTCACCCCCCACCCCGCGACGTTGCCACGTTCGTTTCAAGCTTCGGCCGTAATTTTCTCTTTGATCCAATCGGATTCCACTAAATACTGTTTTTGACTTTTAAACCACAAAAAACAGTCCTTAAATAATGATAATAACTATTATTATAAACAATTTTAACGTTTTTTATTTTATTTGGGGCATTTTTATTACAATCTGAAGTTGACTTTAATATAAATTGGGGAAAAGTAAGGTTACTTACGTTGACATTTATTGACATTGACATTGACATTCGTAATTTCTTTGTCCTTTTAATTTATATTTTACAAAATTGACAAAACTCAAACGCACATTATTTTATTGATACATCTAAAAAATCTTTTAAAAATCATTTAGTTTTAATCATTTTTTAACAACTAAAACTTTCCTTATTATATTTTAGAAAAATATGTTTGAAAAAATATTAGGTATATAAATGTTTAGATAAGTCATGGATGCCATCTTAAAAAACTCATTATGGCGACCTGAAATTTTTTTATTTTTCCTTGTTTAGTCAATATTAATAGTATTTATTACCACTAATAACCCTAAAAATACCATGCAAGTGGTCTTAATATCGTAAAATTATAACTTATGAGTACCATTTACCAAAATTTTGACGTTAAAATTACCGTTAAATTTTCCTTTAGGTGAAACACACTTATAAGTAGTCATTTTCATTCGTAAAAATTAAGGCCCTCATAATACTTTAAAGAGTAAAAACTTAAGGGTTATTAATATAGGTAAAAATAACTTACCTAAATAAAACTTATTAAGGTTAACTTAACAAAATATTTACTTTACCTAATTTAGTTACTTTTGTTAATTTAAGTTAATAGGTATACAGGGTGCCTCGAAAATGGAGAACCAACGGTATACCAAGAGGGATATTTTGAGCAAAAAAAAATATCGAATTTATTGTTTTGAGATATTAATTATTTAAATTTCTTGGCCGATTTAAAAAACAAGTAAAAAATGTTGTTGTGAAGACAAAATATACAACGCATCTACAGCGAATTAAATATGGACTTGAAGTTAACATTATTTATCTAATTTGACGTGTGACTTTATGGCGTTTTAGTCACGGGCTGAAGTTGGCAACAGTGGCTTTTGGGCATTTTAGTCACGGGCTGAAGTTATATATATATTATAAATTGGGGAAAAGTGAGGTTAATTCCGTTGACATTTGACATATGTCAAATGTTTAACAAATAAAATTGGATTTAAATTCTTCTTTATGGCCGTCGTAGATAAAGTATAGTACCTATGCAACTCGTTTTATAAACTTATATAGACACTCGTTTTTATTAAACACTCGCTTGCAAGCTTCGCTCGTGCTTAATAAAACTCGTAACTAAAATGGCGTTTATAAAACTTGATACATAATATACTATTATATACTTTGACGTGTGACTTTATGGCGTTTTAGTCACGGGCTGAAGTTGGCAACAGTGGCTTTTGGGCATTTTAGTCACGGGCTGAAGTTAGCTTTATTATAAAATGGGAAAAAGTGAGGTTAAATCTGTTCACATTTGACTGATGTCAAATGTTTAACAAATATAATTGGCTTTAAATTCTTAAAACTTGATACATAATAATACATCAAATACATAAAAAATATATTTGCAAAATTCTGTAGGTACCGTAGAGCCAGTGGTCAATAATGATTATTGACACTGTCAATTTGACAGATGTATTTTTGACAGTTTAAATCGTCGTAACTTGGTTATTACTATAATAACAGGTTATAACCTTAGGCCTTATAACATTGGTATGTATACTAAAAGTATGGTCTAAAATTTAGACTAAATTATTTACAAATCTTGAAATTTGTTTTAAAAGCCGTTGGAAAATTGTGTTTAATTAAAAAATACATATTAGGTATTAAAAAAACTAAAGAAAATAAAATTTAATTTTAAACCCTTATAAAACCATTGGTCAGAATTTACATACAAATTTAAACGATTATTAAAATAAAATTGACGTTTACAGGGTAATTATTTATAATTTTATTAAAGACCAATCTTTTTGCAGTAGGCCTACTGCAGAAATAGTAGACATGACAACACCGCCACCCCGCATCGTTTGCTCACCAAAAGGCCTTGTTGCCATGTACCTACGTTCGGTGCCCCACCCTACGCGTATAACTATAAACAGGGCCCTAACGCACTTCCACTACTGTATACGCCCAACTTTAAAACCACCCCAAAATGCCTACAAATTTAAATTACCCGTCTTAACAGATATCCATCTTCACAGAACACAATTTCATCTCGTTAATGCAATTAGGGTTGTGATTGGTTCTGTCATAAATTATAAGCGTCAAAGCTTACTTTGATTTATGAATAGATGGTATAATGTATGATAATACATTGCATTATAAAATTGCAGGTTTTCTATAGTTAGTGGAATTTACTTTAAGCGCAAAAATGCAATGGTCGCACATTGACCCAACTATAGCTTTGAATCTATAAATTAGAGGTGGGCCGATTTGCGATTTTTCAAGAGCTGCGATGCAATGCGACTGCTCCGGCCGGAACACTGTGACAAAAAGCAGCGATTTTTCGAAGCAATGCGATTTGCGAATCGCAAATTGCGATGCTCCAGAGCAGTTTTGTTTGAGCCGTACCACGGTAAAAGCAAAACACTGGCGAAAGTGCTAACGGCGAAGCAACTAGAGATAAGGGATATTTCACAAACTGTGATTTTTTCACTGATATTTAAAAATCACGAATAACGACTGCTACTTACATCTATTAATTAGCGTGATCTGTGATTTTTCACTTAGCGATATATGTTTGTTAAGTTTAAAAGGTTTTTTTTGTACGAGTTATCTACCAATAAGTTCAATCACATATTGATAAATACATGTGGAACAATTCCCCACACGGTCGCTGCAGCATGCTGAAGAGAGCAACAGCGACGGCCTGGTATAATTAAAATTTCGGAGCAATTTAAATTTTAAATTGCTCCGAAATGTCGCTGCGATTTTTACTGCCGCGGAGCAGTTTGCGATTGCGACGCCACCGGAGCAGTGACAAAGTAGCAGTTTGCGAAATCGCAACACACCTCTACTATAAATTGAATTCCATGGGAATTCCGATAAAAACCCTCTTAAACCACACAACAAAAAATGAGTCAATGAAATTCCCAATTAAACACAGATATAACATAATGGAAAATCTGATGATCGTTTTACACCAATTGATATGAAATAATATTATAATACAATACAAATAGGGGCAACCCACATCGCTTATTACATTTAATTTTAACTTTAGGGTGAAGCTTCTTTTATTATTTGTCCAGTTGCTCCCATGATACGTTTTTTATAAGGGCTTAATTTGTTACACTCTATATTAATTCGAATTCTATGTTAATTTTGTAAATAATGTAACCGTGCCCCCAAATTTAGGCTCAATTATGTAATTAAAATGATATTTAAATTTAAACAGTACATGGTTTACCAAAGAATAAAATATTACTCATCTATTAAATAATTAATTAATATAATGAGGTATTTTAGAAGATTGTTAACTGATAAAAACGTCTAGGTATAAAATAATTTGTATATATATATAGGTATGCAACCAGTATAACAGATATACTATTTTAATGTTTAAAATTTAATTAAAAAAATAACCAAATTGTATAACTGAAATCAACTATTATTAACTTTAGCTTTAAATAGAAATAATTTATAAAAAGTAATAATAAACTCGTGGGTCCAGAAAAAACGTTTCAGGATTGCAACCAAATAAATCAAAGAAAAACTGAAACCTGTGATTTGACAGGTTTCGAAAACTCCAGTTTATTTATTTACTATTTACCACCAATAAACTGAAGCTGTGACGAAGTTATTTGAAAATTAATGCAATGATTTTGAGCACAATTAAATTACGCGTAATCTGAATGCATTAATATTGGAACTTTCGTATAAAGTGACGTGGAAGTAATTTGTGAGGTTATGTGTATATCATAGACTGTTTACTGAGTTGTTTAATAAGTAAAATTAGCATCTAAGATGTTTGAAATTACAGATACACAAAGTAAGAAGATTGAGGAGTGTTATTTATAAGTGAATGTTATTGGTTTTGTTTATTTTCAGAAATTGGGGTTGGATTGGCAGGTTTCGGCATATTTTTCCTGTTTTTGGGTGTAATATTGATATTCGATAAAAGTTTATTAGCTTTAGGAAATGTAAGTACACATTTTAGGATGTTATATGGTTTTTTACTTTGTTTGGTTTTAGATATTATTTTTATCAGGCTTAGGTTGTGTAATCGGGAGAGAACGAACAATTAGATTTTTCTTTCAAAGGCACAAAATTAAGGGCTCCATAGCCTTTTTTGGGGGAATTATCGTAGTTTTAATAGGTTGGCCTCTAGTTGGCATGATTATTGAAACATATGGATTTATATTATTATTCAGGCAAGTTTATATAATTAATTTTTAATTTATTCATGTTTGTTTTTAATATTTGTCTGTTAATTATTAAGTTAATGATTTTTTTTAGTGGATTTTTCCCAGTTGCCATAAACTTTTTAAGAAGAGTGCCAGTTTTAGGGTCACTTTTAAATCTACCTGGTATAAGTGCGGTGAGTGTATTTTGTTTCGTATTCTGTGATTAAATGAATAATTCGTCTTTATTTTATAGTTAGTTGATCGGCTGGCTGGAGACTCCAACAGAACAACTGTGTAAATAGTTTTTTTATTGTAAATTATTAAAAGACCTAAAAAAATAAAAGACAAAGTGTTAAAGTGAATTTTTAATATTATTTATGGAAATCATCGTGTTTATCATAGTTATGTAAAAGCTAGTCTATTTTATTTTATTTTTTATTAAAACTCCAAATTGTTGTAATACCTTTATTATTAACACCATTATAATTTGATAAATTTTTTACATGCGAAAATTAATAAACTGGTAACTAATATAACTGGAACAACATATTTAATCATGTTTTTCTTTCTCCTCCCAACAACCTAAAAAGTATATTAAAAAAAAAACATTAAAAGACTTAATACTCACATTTTTATCAAATTTGTTCAATGTTTTTTCTAACGATTTAAGAGATTCATTTAAACAAAGTACTGTGGGTTTAAGTTTTATATCACAAACTACAACATCTTCCCTACGTGCTGCTATAGCTAAATTGGCAAAATGCTTGTGCATTTGCAAGCTTATTTGACTTAAAACCAGACTAACATATTCTTTATCGATAACCCTACTTATAGTCTTTCTATAAAAAAAATTATAATTACATCAACAAAACAATACTATAGTATAGTACTTACTCTGTTGGTAACTGCAGATTATTAATTGTGTTCAAAACTTTCTGATTAAGCTCGTCTTCATCACCCAAAATAATTTTCAAATCTTCATAGGACAATACTTTTAAGGTATGCATATCTGTAACCCCATGTTCCTTGAATTTATCAATGTACTTTTCCGCTCGACAAGAATGCAAAACTGTGTCTATTATATCCATTTTTAATTTTATTTAAACAATAATAATAAACAATTATTGTTGATGAATTTGAACTACATAACCTACAATTATAATGGTAAAAACGGAAGCTGCATTACTTAGTTAAGACATTTTTTGTTAGATGGCGCCACATGCCCATAATTTAAATTGAATGGGAAAATAAGCAGCACAATTAGTTTTTTGCACATTTTATTTATTAAAATATGCCCAAGCACTATATTTATAAGATAAAATAAAAGATTGTTGCAAATTACTACACGAACTAAAATAAAAACGATGACGGAAACTGCATATGAATAGTTGATGCATATTTTGTTAGATGGCGCCACATGCTCCTAATTTAATTTTTAGTGAAAAACATGAGCAACTTGTGTATGGGAAAAATTATAAACACAATCAGTTTCTTGCACATTTTATTAATTTAATTATGCCCTAACACAATATTAATGGGATATATTTAAAGTCTGTAGCATAGGTCACATTAAATGCTGATTTTCACGACTAGAGTTTTTATTTTACAATGATAGGTTTTGATTTTAGAATCGGTATACATTTATACAAAATATGTAGATAGATATAGTTTTTTTTACAAGTGGTATAATTTACCTTGGTCAAAATATTGTAGAGAAAAAACACTATAGGTTATATTTTTATCAAAGAATTTGATTTTTATTAAATGATATAAAGCAGTGGTTCCCAAACTTTTTTAATTTAGAAAAGAAATTTACTGCATTAAAATTTAATTTAATTTAAATTCTAAAAAATTTAAAATAATTTATAATAACCTTTATCCTACCAAAAAGTACGCCACTGATCCACTAGGAACTTTAAGCCAATCTGGTTGCCTAATTTAATTTATTATGTTATGGTTGGTAACAACCAGCGTTACCAGGTTCTGTCAAAAAAAGTTGCCAAATTTTGATTAAATTTAGTTTAATTACAAAAATGAAAAAATGAAAAATACAAATTGTTAATTTGGCGTTTAATTAATTGTTGATTAAGTCAACTTTTATGACAGAATCTTGTGAATTTTTTTCAAATTTTAGGTTATATGCTCAAATTGTAAATATCTTAACTAAAGGAAGTGCTTTTGGATTTATTCACACAAATTGAATGTTTAAAGTTTAACCTGCGAACAAAAAGAAAAAACCGATGAAAAAATTAATTTTGTGGTTATGAAATTTTGAAAATGGGTACTAAATTTTCTAATCATTCCTTAAGCTAATAGCTGGATGAGTAAATAAATACAGGAGGGTATTAGAGCTTTAAGGGCATAACACTTTTGTATTTAAGTATTGAGTTTTTATTTATTTTTTGCAAGAAAAATTTTTAGTAACAATTTTTTACAATTGGCAACACGCAGCTACTTTGTTGGTTGGTATCCATGTACTGACAGCACACAAGTGTGTAATCAGTGGCGTATCACAAAAAATTTAAAAAACTTATTTTGTAATTTTTCTTGAAAACCTAATTTTTATAAAATATATTTAGAAACAGATTTTTTTTCTGCATGCATGGGTGCTTAACATTACTTTACTCCCCCAGTTTGGGAACCACTGATAAATAAAGAAATATGAATAGAAAATTAGGGAAATTATTATAATTTTATCAAAATACACACTTAGTTATTATACAAATAATCATTTGTATAATATTAAAATGAAGTAGTTAATTGCGAGTTAAATTATTAAAAATACAAGTTTTAACCTATTTAAAATATTGTGCCTTTAAATTTTTATTTAGAGATTCTTAAAATAATAAATACCTAATTAGGTATACCTACTTTAAATTAAGTAAATTTTCTTTAACTCGCAATTAAAAATAAGGAGGACATATTCTACACTTTACAAGAATGGTATATATTCTACTTTTTGAAAAAAAAACCCCGAAAAATGTAATTTTTTTAATTTAAAATTTATATTTTTAAATCCAATATTACCAAGTCGAATAATCTTTGCCGTTTTTTGATCTGACGTACCATTAATAAGTTAATGAGTTAAAACAATTATTTTATTAATATTAATAATAATTAATTTTAACAATATTATTTAATTGGAGATATTTGAATGAATATGTAATAATTATTAATCACAATCCACACAACAAACCCTGTTTTATCTTGTTTCGCGCATACTAAAAATCACTGCAACACTGCACAGAATCTAACGGCGGCCATTTTTATGTTTATACAGATTAAAAATCGTTTTAACGTTGTGTTTCTTACAGAGGCACTTGTAAGCCTCAAATGAGGCCTTTAGTGCTAAGAACAACCATTTTAAACCTTATTCTATCAGGGCTGTCATCAAACTATCAAATTTAAATTTGCGGGTTACGGTAAATTAACCTTAAATTGGAATTTGACAGTTTAATGACAGTCCTGATAGAATAAAGTTTATTTTTACCAACGTTTAAAACGATTATTAATCTGTATAAGGGCCACCAATTTTCCCTAAAGAAAGAATGTCCCAAGTTAAAACTAACCTAAAAACTAAAACACTGACAGTGACAATGTCAACCATATAATTAAGGTCATTTTACACTACGATTTTATATAGAATTTCTGCAAATTATAGTTCTCCCACCTCTAATAATTCTGCTAAAACACGCCTGTGATTGGCTGCTTTATTTTATTAATAACTAATTAATGGTGCCTCTGATCGAAAAACGGCTTAAAATATATATAATTTTATTTTTTCCGGATTTGCAAAAAAGTGAACTGACTCACCTAGAATAAATACAAAACAGGTACAAGATATCACTGGAGAGAAGAGTTAGTTAAAAAACAGGAAAACACTCTTAATTGTCTTTCTCCTGGATGGACTTGTCGATTTGGCGCCATCTCTCCAAATTCTCCCGACACATTTCCAGCAGAGGTCGCGTCTCAGGCAAAAGGGCGTCCAAAAGGGCGTAGCATGGCTCGCATATGCCCATCAAGAAGCCCACTTGAGAGGCGGGTTGATGGTCTGGCTGCTTGCGGTCCATCATGGGTATGGGAATCTTGCCTACAATGTTTGGTTATATATTTTTCGGTATATTAGCAATTACCAATTATAGACAAATAGTTATTTATGTCATTAGTTTAAGAAGTAAGGCGGCCTAACCTCACTTTTTTAGAATCTCATTTATTTATTAGCTAAAGATTACATTAAATGTACAATAATTATTATTGCTTTTAGAAGCAGTAATAGTTTGACAATACCTAGCAACATGATTTAAGTAGAAATGGATTTTTGCTGTTACATTGAATTCAATTAATTGTTTAATAAATAGGTATCTAATTTCAATTTGTTTGGATTTTTATTTAAAAAATAGGTAGTTTGGAATGTTTAAGCTGTGTTTAACATTTAATTTCACTGAAAACTTAAAGATAATTTAAATCGTAGAAAAAGAATCGTGAGTTTTCTTGGTTGCCTAACCTCGCTTTTTGTTTTATTATTCATATTTAATTTTACAATAACTTAATGAAAAATATTAAACATTAACAGTAAAACAAACAAATTAGTGCTTATTATAAATAAATTAAACCAGTTTAGTACGTTAATTTCTTAGAAAAGGATTAATTTGTCAAAACAATACCCCTAGCGAGAAAAAATCGAACTAATTACTTGCCTCATAAAATTTATTTCTTTATCGAATGTTGGCAACAATAAAGTTTAAATTATAGACAGCGTGGAGATAAAAATTATTATGTATTAAAATTATTTCAAGCTGTTTTTTTAATTAAAAGAATGATTTAAGGTTTAAATAACTACAAATTTACTACCAAGTCAACTTTAAAGTATTTATAACGGTTAACCAAAACGGTTTTATAACGGTATAGATGGGAAAAATTATTAAATTTGGGAAATGGTTTATTTATTATTTATTTTATTTTACCTACATAATACCCTTTTTGATCTATAGTATACTAGGAGTAACGTTATAAAAACAATTTAAATACCACAAATTTACGTAAAAATAACGCTATAATTACTGTTTGCTCTCTCTTTCTAAACATTGACATTCGTAATTTCTTTGTTCTTTTGATTTATATTTTACAAAATGGTATTTGCAAAGTAATAAAGGCCACCCTAGAGTAAAATTAAAAAATATAACTTAAAACTAAAATTTTCCTTATTAAATTTTATAAATATGTTTATTAAAAAATATTATATAAATGTTTAGATAAGCAATGGATGCCATCTTAAAAAACTCATTACCCAAGCAGCATTTTTGGTTCCAAAAACCATTGCCAAAATGGTGATAACTTTAAATTAGTTAAGTTAACTAAACAGCTACTTTAATTTTTACTTAAAAGTAATTCTAACTTTTAAATAGCAATATTTTGTAACAGAAACTTCATTCTTTCCTTAAATAGTTACTATAAAGTAATAAACATTTAAGTAAAACTTGGTTGCCAGCACGACTTTGCAACCTTAAAAAAGGTGTTATAAGTAAAGAAAACTTTCAAGTAAATTTAATTTATAGCAGTTACTTTCGGTTGCTACCTAAAGATTACATTATAATTATTATTACTTTGTAGTCCCTTTGCAAGTTAAAATCTCGAAACTGGAACATGAGTTAAAAACTACAAAGTTAATAACTTAAAAGTTATTATTTTAGTATTTGGAACGTTTATGGTACTAACCAAAACTACCGTAAAGTAAATTAAGGTGGAAAAAAACTTTAAAGTGGCGAAAACTACTTCAAAGGAAAATGCTTCTTATCGGCCATTTTTAACTGTACAGTACCACGTGGTAATGTAAATAATAAATTATTTTAATTGTTTGTAAATGGTGGTTTACTTTTTAATAAATAGTAATTTTGTTGGTAATAATTAAATAAAAAATTAATAATAAATATTAAATTTTTTTTATAAACATTATTAAATAATTAATTTGTTTATACTTAAATATTGATGAAGCTCATTTATTTTACAAAAACTAAATTCATAAGTTGAACAGTAAAATTTAAAGGGTTTATAAATTTACCTGCCTAATTAAACATTATATTGTTATTCTGGAAGTTATAAACTACCAGTACATATTTAATAAACGACGACATTGAAAAGCCAAGTCCGTAGTGGTTCCATTTAAAAAAGGAGGGATAGTATAATCTAATATAAGTTGACAAAGACAGTTAATATAGAAGTAAAAACAAATAAATAAAAGTAATTATAACGCTCTAGCAACGATATTGAAACGTTCCAGTAACGTAGCAGCTACGTTCCAAATAGTAGGAGGGTTTATAACTAGTGACATATTTGTTACCTTTTTGGAACTCAATAATTGTTCCCCACTTTAGTCGTAACTTAGTAATGAAAGAGTAATATAAAGAGACCGGCGACTGTCGCAAAACACTTTAAAGTTTCTTCAGTGTCCCATATACGTAACTAATACTTAAATTGTTACTTGGGAGATAAAAATAACATAAATAAAGCAAATTTTGTCTCTTACCATTTGCCCTTTCGGCGTCACCTTGCTGATAGAACTCCTCGAAAATGACCTTGACAGTTTCCGACTGGATGTCCCAAGGTTTGGCGCTTGCGCTTAGATCGCTGCCCGTCATCGATATGGCCTGGATTAGCAGCCGATGCTCCTGGTCGTGCCAATCGAATGAGTTCTCTTGCACCAACTTGGACAGCTTGGCTTTGTTGGGGAAAAACACTGCCAGGTCAGTGGCCAGAATGCAGTGCTTGAGGAGACTGAGCACCTCCTTGTACTCGTCATGGGAGAGTTTGCAGAAAATGTTGTGGCCCTCCTGCAAGAAGAATTTTGATTGAGTTTTGCGTTCTTTAAATTAATTTTTGCGGTGTTAAAATGTTTGGAAAAAAATTGCACGGTAGTTCAAAATTAAAAAAAGGTTTCGCACAGTGGGATAAATTTAAAAGTTGGTGGGACAAATTTTCAATTTTTTTTTTAAATTTCCAAAATTTTTAAAAATTCCATCAAGATTGTTTCCACTTGCATAAGTATTATTTTATTTAATGTAACAATTTCTGATTTAACTGATGTAACTGATAAAAATGATATATTTAAAAAAACTGAAAAGCTTTTTAAATTAATTTTTGCGGTAAAAAATATTTGAAAAAAAATTGCACAGTAGTTTAAAATTAAATAAAGTTTTTGCACAGTGGGATAAATTTAAAAGTTAGTGGGATAAATTTTCAAAATTTCCAAAATTTTTAAAATTTTCAAAATTTCTAAAATTTAAAAAAGTCAAAAAGTCTTAAAATTTCCAAAATTTATTTTTTTTTTGAAATTTTTAAAATTTCCATAAAGATTGTTTCCACTTTAGTATTATTTTATTTAATGTAACAATTTCTGATGTAACTGATGTAACTGATAAAAATGATATATTTAAAAAAACTGAAAAGCTTTTTAAATTAATTTTTGCGGTATAAAATATTTGAAAAAAAATTACACAGTAGTTTAAAATTAAATAAAGTTTTCGCACAGTGGGATAAATTTAAAAGTTGGTGGGACAAATTTTCAAAATTTCCAAAACTTTTAAAATTTCCAAATTTTTTTTTTTTTTAATTTTCAAAATTTTTAAAATTCCATAAAGATTGTTTTCACTTTAGTATTATTTTATTTAATGTAACAATTTCTGATGTAACTGATGTAACTGATATATTTAAAAAAAACTGAAAAGCTGCCAAAATCAAAAATGCTTTATTTTTATATTTTCGCCTCTATACCTATGCGCGACTATAGTTAAAGTCAAACTCAATGGTGTTTTGCAAGATACATTATACATGGATTATTTTAAAGGTTTATTAATAAAAAATATACCTAATTTTCTTCCTTAAATAAGAAATATTTTCTAATTTTATGTTAATTTAAAGAAAAAGAACTTACTTAAAAAATATACCATAAGAACATTTGAAACTCAAACTTTGAATAAATGTATCAAGATAATGGTGTTATCATTCCCAGGCAATGCCCGGCAGGCATTCAAGCCAATTTCCAACGCGTATAACATCGAACCAATAAATCATTAATGATTTCCGTACCGCAAAATCCTCCTAAAGCAGATTAAAGCCATGGCACCGGTCATTATTATCAATTTACCTGTGATAAGTGGATTTCCACCAGGATTGGAGTTGGGATTTCAGGATTTTTTGTTAAATTCGTTCCATGACACTAAGTGACCTTTTAAATACACATTGACAAGTTGTGGCTTTATGGCGCTTTAGTCACGGGCTGAAGTTAGCAACAGGTTTTTAGTCACGGGCTGAAGTTAGTTTTAAGTTAGTTGACAGTTGTCAAATGTCATACGATCGTTAAAATAAATTGCCTTTCTCGTAAAATAATACTAAATGTGAAAATTATTTTATTATCTCAATACAAAAATACAAAAGTATTCAATAGTTTCTCAACGCCAATATTTGAAAAGTTTATATGAACATTGTACTGACCCTTTAATTTCGCCGGCAGTAAACTATAACTTAAATTCGGGCACGGACTCCACTGTAAAGTGCTCATAAAACATTTTCTTTACTTTCACTGTGAAAAACTGTCAATTTTCAAGAAATACATTTCGATTTATAACCTTTATAGGTAATCTGTGTTAATAATATAAAAAAAATTGACATTTGACGCTGACACACAGATTCCCCTATCGTTTCATAGATGGCGCTCTATACAATTTTTTGATTTAAATCATTTTAAGATAATAATAAGTATTTGTCGTAAAAAAAGTATAGTATGCACCTTGTTTATAAACTTTTCTATAAATGGCGTTTATCAACGAGCAAAAAAAAAAATATTTTTAAATAAGTTAAAAGTACAAGAATTGAAATGACTCATAAAAATTTATTAGCTCTAAAGATGGTTTAAATGGGGAATGAAAAACTACGACTTCTTTACCTGTTGTAAAATGGTGACGGTCTGGTTAAAGTGATGGTGTTCCATTGTGGATGTGGAATAAATGGCTGCCAAAGGAGACTCGGTATCCGACATGAATTTATTGTTTTTGCCTCTGTGATCCAGGTCGTGACAAAGGGAGGCTGTGAACAAAGCCAAAGCCTGAAAGGAAAACGTAGGAATATGTTGTATTAAGTTTAGAAACAAATCAAAAGGAAATATGTCTGAAAAACTCTATTTGGAAAAAAATATTACAATTAAATAAAGAACCCATAAGGTCATTAATTAAAGAAACATTAAAAAACTATCTCAGTCGGTAATAATATAGAACTACTTTATTTTGGGTCCAATATAGGACAAAAAAGTTCGCACGTTACTTTGGTGATAAAATTTTTGTTTTTTTGTTAAGAGCAGGGCTGTGTTTTGATTACAATAAAAAATATTTCTAAAAAGTGTACAGATCAGTGCGTGGCAGGGTTGCCAACTCTACCAACTTTTCGGTAGATCTACCAACTTTTAGTGTCTTGCTCAAATCTACTACTTTGCAAGAAAAATCTACCAACTTTTAAAGTTTTTAATTTTTTTAAATTAAATCTTTTTATACTTTTTCCATCTTTAAACATTTACCAAATTTCATATAGTATAGCGCGTTACTGTAACGTCCTCTATTATCTAATACATATATCAACAAAAGTGCGGAGCACCTACTGAAAATTATTATAAATTATTCAATCAAAATATGTTTTCTTTTAAAAAATAGATTAGCTATACTTTTTTCTTATATTCTTTCCTTTTTTCCATTTTCAAATTTGTACCCTTTTGCTTTTAATCCCTTTAATTATAAATATATTTATAATTAAAGGGATTAGAAGCAAAAGGGTACAAATTTGAAAATAGAAAAAAGTCAAAAAATAAAGAACGAATTATGATAATTATCAAATTATGCTTACAGTTGGGTTGTATACTCAAATTAAATAATTAAATATTTATAATCTGGAATTATTCAATTAAGATATAGTATACAAGCCAAGTGCCTATAGGAACGATAATTATCATAATTCGTTCTTTAATTTTTGACTTGTTCCTATTCTTATTTTGAATATTGACAAATTGCCAATGGCAATCTGTAATTCTGCTTTGTTATTGCTTTTTTTTAAAATACTTAAAATATTTTGTATCCATAAAAAAATAAATTCAAAGTGCCAGATTTTTTACTTTGGAGTCTCTGGAATACTTGAAATATATAGGTGGTAGATCTACTAACTTTTCAAAGTAAGATTTGTTGGAAACTACCAACTTTTAAAATTATATCTACCTCCTAGACCGATTTTGGGTGCCTGGTATAAATGTGTTCCTCATGGTTTAAACATTGTCACTTTAATGCGTTTTAATTTTAATTCTGAAAACAAACAGTAAAATGGCCAGTGTCCAATTACTGGTTGGTAAAAAATGTAAATTTCTATTATTGGACATATGTCCAATATCATACTCTATTTATATCCCGGACATTTATCAGCCATTTCTTATGTAAAATTGTCCCCTGAATCCGAAAAGACCGTCAAAAACTATAAAAGTTGAGCAGTTTTTAAGATATAGTCAATTCCATATTATATGTAAAATTAATTAAATTTCTACTTTTATAACTTTTGACGACATTTTCGGATTCAGCGAATAATATTTCATAGGAATTGACTGCTAAATGTCCTGGATACAAATTGCTGTTGACGAGAATTATAAGTGGCTGTTTTTTCGCTATTTTTAGAGAGTAAGTAATATAGTGATTTCTTCGTCACAGGACATCTTGCAGAATAACAGTGATTTAAATACAGTGCATGATAGACACATAAAAAACTAATGGCAACAAAATTAATAAATTCGGAAAATACCTTTATCATACCACCCGAAAAAATATTAGATATATATAAATCATCCTGTTCCGGCCTAACATTATAAATGCTTCACAAACTAGAGATACCACACTTAATGATATTTGCAACAAACTATTTCAGAAGTTAGACCAAAATTACCTAAAACAGCAATTTATCTTTAAAAAATATTTAACAATTTATGTTATTTGATGTAAAGTTGTTATGTTTATATAAAATTTGTATGTCCAATAACTATGGTCCATGTGTCCAATTACTATATAAAATGTCCAATTACTATACTTTTTTGCATGTTTTTATAAAACTATTATTAAAAATTGAAATATTCTTATTTTTAAGTAAACGTAAATAAAGTTTAAACTAACAAACTATCCTTTTTAAAACTCTTCACCGTACCGATTGAAAGGCAAGACGAAGCAAAAAAACTTTTTCAATTAAACAAAAGACGTAAAGCGACGATCTTAATTTCAACTCAGTTAAAAATTTGCTCCCAAGCTAATTGCAGATTTAAATTCGGTTCGGGCATTTTTTGCTGTTTTCGTGAAGAGAGGTTTTTTTTGTCGAGACGAACTGGAGAACCCGCTAATGGATAAGTAAATAATTAACACGCATTTTGATTTGTAAGACTTCAATTAATTTAACCAGAACCTGCCTAATATTGAGAAAAGATCTGACAGGGAGCAATTTATTTTAAAAGTTAACATTAAGGATATTTTATTTTTTACACAGTAAAAAAAATCAACTCTAAGCAACACTAATTAGAGTTCACACAGGTCTACACTAAATAGTGTTGTTTTATAACACTACAATTAGAGTTATTTTGTAGTGTAATTTTCCCCAAGTAAGCAAGTATGATTTAACACTATTAACTGAGGATAAAGTAATTTTACACTTTATTAAAAAGTGTTAATTTGGGTAAAATCCCACTTTTGTTCAGTGTAAATTAACACTACTTTGGAAAAGTTCTAATTTTAGAAAGGTACTTTTACATTTTTAGTGCAAACTTCTAGTGTAAATTAACACTATTATTTGAGTAAAACCTATTGGTGGTAGTGAATAAAACAAAAAGGTAAATAAAGAGAAACATTTATTTGGAACAAAAATCTATGACAATTATCAAAATCGGTGCCTTTTAAAATATAATTTTATATTTGAGTCGTATGGCTGGCTTAAGCAAAATGGTTCCTTAAACCGTAAAAGTTTTAGATCAATGTAATGTTTTACTGGCTGTCAACTTGTAAGCAATGAATTATCTTGAGAATTCATCAGTAATCCATTTTTATGTTATAAAAAATGGGTGATCCCATTGGTAGAGAGGCATCAGGCGGCTGTATGTCGGGGATTTACCGCACGTGTACAAATTTTCTATAATATTAATAAAAATGTAGGTATAAGTTTATATAACAACCATTACGCTTGAAAATAAAAAGTAAAACAAGTGTGTATGTATTTATATTATTAATGTTACAAGTACCCGACCTACTGCCGTAAATTATTGATATATAATATATTATTGAGTATTAAGGCTTAAAGAAAAAGGAAGTATAATAAGAATGTCCCCTTATGGATTCACCGTAATTAAAATCCAACTGAACAAAAATGCCACACTTCCACAACGCGGTATCTCCGGATATGCACTGCGTAGGTAGATAGGTACCAACCAAACATTTTAAAACGCATTTCGGTTATTACCAGTTTTTTCAGTATATTTTGCCACTATTGGTGTAATTTAACTTTAATTGTGATACAATGTGCACTAGTAGTGTAAAGAAAAAAGAGCTCTTAGTAACATCAAAACAGACAAAGAAATTGGCATGCACTGTAGTGTTCATTTTGTCACTATTTAACGCATTAAGGGGTAATAAACACTCGCATTAAGTTTTTCTACCCTTTTGATTTATTTTAATAATAAATAGTGTGAATGTACCAATTAATAATGTTCATATTCTTTAAATGTGTTTAATAAAGTTAATAAGCACTAAATGCTACCTAGTGTATTTTGTAGTGTAACTTTTACACTTACAAATCAACTATAATATTTTTACCCCTACACTAAAAAATTTACACGGGCAAAATTTTTTACTGTGTACTAGACCTGGTGGCTTCCCAAAACCCCCATTCTAGACTAATAGCCCAGCCAACAAAGTCAAGGTAGTGCTACTAGTAGCAGAGGGTAGCGCTACCCTCTGCTACTAGTAGCACTACCTTGACTTTGTTGGCTGGGAGTGAAACAACCAACCCATTTAAAGTATTATAATACTATAGTTTAGGACAAACTCGTGTGTGCATATTCTAAACCCCCATTGCAAATATTTCATATTTTTTTTATCATAAAATTTTCTGTCATATTTTCAAAAAAAAAATCCATTTACTATGAAAATTGAAATTTAACCTACACACATATCAATCGCCTAAAACCTCATTCCGTAAACATTGAACGTTTCATTTCTTATGCATATATTCCCCACAGCCATTTACTCATACATTCTTTCAATTTCAACGTGGATTTCATGAACACACGTCATAAAAGATTTACTATACGTGCCCCGAAGAAAGAACGTGCTAGTTAAATGGGATTTTATTCAGGAACTGCAAAGTACACAAGCGTTTTATAAAGGTTTAATCAGGATCGCTCTTGTATTGTTTTTCCAACATAAACCGGCAGGATTATATACAGATTATATACACGTGAAATTTTATCACATGGGTTATTTTCCCCAACAGTACAGAAAAGTACTACTACACTTGCAATAATATAGTTGAGAATATTTATTTATTTATTTAATTGTATATTTCACTGTATAATAGTTTAACGAAACAGTTTTTTAACTGGTACCGCCAAACAATTTTAATTTTCTTTATATACGTCATTTCTCTTTTTAACCATTCCATTCATAATATTTATTTCTATTAAATACTATATTTCCTACATTTTTATCCTTTTACAAAAATTTTGACTTCTCTGATTGACATTAAAATTAATATATTTCAAATATTACAGAAAAAGTCCACTTGTGGTAATATTTAAAAATACAATTAAACTTTTTAGTAGTTGTTTGCAAGAGTACATTGTTTTATAACTGAAACCGCCATTTAAATTAGAAAATATTGCTTCGCCATTATGAAATAATTTTCTCGATTTTTATCTAAGAATGTCATATTCTCGCACGCAAAATCGTTGAAGAATGAAGCTCATTCTTAAACGATTTTTGGTAACATTTAGTTTTTAAGTATTGGTACCCCCAAAATGTCAAACTGTTTAATAACCTCAAATTCATTACTTTTATTAAAAATGAAGCCTTTATTATTGTTTTGTAATATAAAGTTTGCTCCAACAATGCATTTTAATGCAAAATTTTAAGTTTTATGTGAAAAAGTGCAGTTCAGGTTGTACTTGTGCAGGATAACAAATATTGTCATTTTGTGTTGCCAACTGACATTTTGCGAGAAAAATCCCCCAACTAACAACGACCACAAAACAATTAAAAAAACCTAAATAAAAGTTAAAATCGAGAAAATAGTATAAATCACACGTTGCAGAAGGCTATTCTCGCACTCATTCGTTCGTCCACTCGCTCCTTCGTCGCTCGAGGCCAAATTTCGAATTCGTGCGAGAATATGTGGCCTTCTGCAACTTGTACTTTAATATACTATTAATATAAAATAAGAATAGATAATATTTTTCAGAAAATTTCAAAAAATTTGGTTTTTACGAGCATGTTAATGCCAGAGAATATTTTTTCGATAAGAGATGGCTTAAAAAACGGAATGTAGATCGGGTAAGTAATTTAGCCAAAGCCTTTAAAATTGTTTAAATTAAGCGCATTTCAGTGGGCATCATACGTTTTGTGTCTCGAAAATCAACTTTTGTCAGTAAAGTGGTATTTGTTTATGATTTTTGCATCCAAAAGATAATAATTTTCTTATTAAGTTTTTAAAATCAATAATGGCCTATGCTTGTGATTCATAAAGCAACAATATACCAAACAAGTATTTGATTAAAGCAATATGGAATTTATAAAGTACAACAATAAAGTAAACAGGTATATTGATAAGTACAAATTGTCAGCTAAAATGTGTTTTCGACAAAAGCACACTACCTCCTTAAACTTAGCAGGTTTTTTGACAGCTGTAAGGTAGGTTTTATGGCTGCTGTAAGGTGTGCCTTAGGGGTAATACTACACTCACGTGCAAAATAATCGATCCACACAAATTTTCGATGAATTTCAATCGCAAATAACCTTTTTATTTGATGTCGGATTTAAACGAATATTAAAGAATATTGTAGATAAATTAATGGACAATCGCTCACATTTAAAAAAAATACTAAAAAATAGACGTACGTTTATAATATACAGGTTTAAACAAAAAGATGTTTTTTACCATAAGTTTAAGACACTCTGTAGAGTGGCAAAACCGTATATTGTTCTAAATTAAGTTTTATTTATCAAGTCACATCTATTCTTAACAGTTTTGTTTTTGGTTCACCTCGATATATTTATTTTTGTGGAAAATATGGATTTTTTTAAAAAACATTGCAATTTCCAATATTTTTCCTGTATGAAGAACTAAGGTTGCTTTGGTCCATCCATAGGCTATGGAGAATGACAGTGACAGTTTTGTTGAATCATCCCATACTTGGACATGTCATACACGGCTTTCAAAAGCTATCAAATTGTTTTTTGCAAATTAATGTTTAAATTTTGAGGTGTCTTCTTACTTTATAAAATGGATATGTCTCCGACTGATGTTGCCAGAGCTATTAATTTAATCCAGGATGGACGGTCACAGTATTACGTGGCAAGTGTTTTAAACGTCACAAGAAGTAAAGTACAAAGGGCAACATCAGTCGGAGACATTTTTAAAAGTAAGAAGACACCTCAAAATTAACACATTAATTTACAAAAAACAATTTGATAGCTTTTGAAAGCTGTATATGACATGTCCAAGTATGGGATGATTCAACAAAACTGTCACTGTCATTCTCCATAGCCTATGGATGGACCATAGCAACCTTAGTTCTTCATACAGGAAACATATTGGAAATTGCAATGTTTTTTAAAAAAATCCATATTTTCCACAAAAATAAATATATCGAGGTGAACCAAAAACAAAACTGTTAAGAATAGATGTGACTTGATAAATAAAACTTAATTTAGAACAAGATACGGTTTTGCCACTCTACAGAGTGTCTTAAACGTATGGTAAAAAAACATATTTTTGTTTAAACCTGTATATTATAAACGTACGTCTATTTTTTTAGTAATTTTTTAGAATGTGAGCGATTGTCCATTAATTTATTTACAATATTCTTTAATATTCGTTTAAATCCGACATCAAATAAAAAAGTTATTTGCGATTGAAATTCATCGAAAATTTGTATGGATCGATTATTTTGCACGTGAGTGTATAAAGCAAAGTTGCTTTGTGGCTGACACACAAATTGCTTCTAAGGACAGCGATAGGATTCTCCTTTTTAGCCCTATGAAGGTTTTATCGAAGCTGTGTAGCTGCTGTTAAAGCAAATGAGTTTTAACTAAGCAATGCAAATAAAGTTTACTTACCTCCATGGGCTTGAAAACGTCCTTGGTGTGCTTCAAGATGCAGTACATGCAGTTGGCGACGGAGAAGCCGTGGGTCCAATTGTGGTACGGAACCCTCCGGTAATTCTTCTTCACCGTTAAAGTGAATTTAAGCAGGCTGCACTCGTCAAACTTGTTGGCCCCGAAGAGATCGACGAACATGTAGATGGCGTGCCGAGCCTTGTCGTAGTCCTCCAGCTTGAAGGGGTTAAAGTAATAGTCGTCAATGCCTGCTACGTTTTCTTTTAAGCCTGCCAATGAGATATTGTAATAGGATTATTGATAACACTATGATAGTTTTACAAACTTTTTTTTCTAACATTAAGTACTCTAGCTTAGTTTAACTGATTTCAAAAATGTCATTAGTTTTTCTCTAGGACGTCTAGGATTTAAAATAATTTCGTAATAAAATGCTCTGCTCAATCACCTCAAAATGTAAGTTTTTTTGTTACAAAGTAAACAAGTTTCGGTATTTTTTATCCAAATTAAGCCCTCAAAATTTAAGGCATTGCATAATTTTGCTTTTTTCCACCTTAAATTTATTAAATCGTATCAAATATCGAATTGGATCATAGTATTATTGTGCTTAATCCACATCATCGTCGTACATCTTTTGCTGCAAATTCCAGCAAATGTCTCCTAGCAATGAATCCAACTTCTTTCCGCTATACCCATAGATATCTACCAATGCTCTAGATTTGCAGTTACTCGGTGAAATCGTTCTCCATGTTCATCAGTTCGGCAAATTTATCAGGATGAAAAAAAAAGTATTTTAAATGACATATTAACGCTAACTCTTTACAAAACGGAGAGCATTTTTTCAATGAATTGGCCCGATATGAACCAAGAACATTTTCTATAACAGCTTTAACCTTGCCATGCGACAAGCTCGTCAACTTTGAGAGCATTTTTTGAATGCTTGATCTTTCATTAAACGTCGTATATCAGGTCCATTTAATATTCCTGCAAAATTAAAGTAGTTGGTATATCTCATAAAATTTTGTAATGAAATATTGCGTTGGGTTTTCATGGGCGTAAAGGTACCGCAACAAAAACAAAACAAATTTACAACGACGACATAAATGTTCGTCTCCTTTCTCTTTCTCTGCCACTTCCATTACCACTTCCATTTCCTGCTCTTTTTTCATTTTTGGTTCTTAAAATCACTTTCAAGTAAAAATACAATTTAAAGTTTAAATGTCAATTGTCAATAATTAATAGATGCACTTTAGTGTGCTTGAACGATAAAGTAGATAAAGGCGCCTTTATACTTCAATTCGATATTAAATTCTGATAGGATTCGAGATTAAATTTTTGGGTAATTTAGGCATGATGTGAATAAAAACATATCAAATAATAATGAAAATATTAACGAAAAACTTACATTTTGAGATAATTGGGCAGAGCATTTTATTACGCAATTATTTCGAATCCTAGACGTCCTGGAGCAAAACGAGTGGCACTTTTGAAATCAGCAGCCCAAAATTAGGTAATACAGGGTGTTTCATAATATATGCGTAGAACTTCAGGATGTGATAGCTCATCCAAAAAGATGAAAAAAGTCGCTATTAACTTACCCTCTAAAATGTACAATTTTCGAGATACAGGGTGTTGAAATTTTAGAAAAAAAATCGTTTTTTTCGAATATCTCCGGAACCGTTTATCGTACAAAAACAGATTTTGTAAGCATTTTCTACTCATAATAAGCTATATTTTGTGTCAGAAAAAAAAATGTTTACTCATAATTGGTGGAGATTTTGAAGGGGTAGCGGGTGTTTTTCTCCTCAACTTCTACGCCCCTGAAAAAAGTACGGTTTTAAGAGGCCCATTCGAACCGCCAATGTTTTCTATACAAATAAGGTACTCTTGGTCATAAGCTCTAAAGTTGACAGTTTTCGAGAAAAATCAACTTTTATGTTTAAAAACATGGTCAATTTTTTGAAAAAATTTTTTTTTCCAATTATACAAAATTTATTTTAACGTTAGAACAAGTAACAAAACCAAACGATAATTGCAAAATTAAAAAAAAATAAAAAATGATTCAAAAGTTGTCTTTGCAAAATTCTCCAAACCGTAAAGGTAACGCATTTCGCACATTTCAGCATTTGTGTAAAAAATCATTTTTTATTTTTTTTTTAATTCTGCAATTATCGTTTGGTTTTGTTACTTGTTCTAACGTTAAAATAAATTTTGTTTAATTAGTAAAAAATTTTTTTTTTCGAAAAATTGACCATGTTTTTAAACATAAAAGTTGATCTTCTTCTCGAAAACGGTCAACTTTAGAGCTTATGACCAAGAGTACCTTTTTTGTGTAGAAAACATTGGCGGTTCGAATGGGCCTCTCAAAACCGTACCGTAACCGCTACCCCTTCAAAATTTCCACCAATTATGAGTAAAAAAAATAATTTTCTGGCACAAAATATTATTATGAGTAAAAAATGCTTACAAAAGCTGTTTTTTATACGATAAACGGTTCCGGAGATAATCGAAAAAAACGATTTTTTTTCTAAAATTTCAACACCCTGTATCTCGAAAATTGTGCATTTTAGAGGGTAAGTTATTAGCGACTTTTTTCATCTTTTTGGATGAGCTATCACATCCTGAAGTCCTGCGCATATATTATGAAACACCCTGTATAGGAGGACGTACTCAATGTTAGTAATTCCAACTATCATAGTGCTATTCTTCTTACCGTTCGTCTGAGTGCACTGCAGTTCCTCTTCGGTGCAGGTGTTGTGATAGCTGAGCACCTCCAGGGCCACTTTGTACTTTTGCTCGCTCTTCCTGATCTTGTCGTAGAGTTTGGCGTGGTGAAGAGCCAGACCGCAGTACACCGCAAACATCTCGAACGCATCAACGTCCTCAGACGTGAAGCATCCAACGTGCTTGTTCACCATCTGAACCACGCCGATCACAGACCCTCTGATGAATATCGGCATGCATAGGATTGTTTTTGTCTGATAACCTGGAAAAAAAATTCTATTACCTGCACAGCGAACGGAAAAATGTAGAAGTGTATTGGATGACTCCACGTTTGAATACAGCTTTCTAAATATCACCACGGTGTAGATTTGTATTCGTCAGTCAAGCGTTTCAATGCTCTCCACAGTATAGAGGTCGTTATTTGACTTTTGAACTACACTGTTCAAAATCAAGCCTTTTGAAATACCTAATCAGAATTCGTTAAGGAAAAATAAGGTAATAGGCTTAAACGAGTAAAGCAATTTACCTTCTCGTTTATTAGGCAGAAACGAATGCCTTAGTTCTATGGTGTATTCACTAACTTCTAGATAAATATTCATACTTTACTTAATAAACTTGTCAAATTTAAAAAGATAGGCAGATTACCTAAATATTTAGTCAAAATCTCAATTACTTTTAGGTACGACAATTTTGCTTTTAATTTAGGTAATTCTTCTAAATTATTATGGCAAATTATTGAACTAATTTAGGTAAATTCCTTTAAATATTAGTTACTTACTTGCAATCGGCTACGATCGCTAATACCGACGTTTTACGATAAATATTCGCGCCTATATTGTCCACCATAATGCCAAAATCAACGAAAGCTTAAAGACCGCCTTGTGTGCTATTGATATAACAACATAGTTAACAATTATTGTGATATAAGAGAACATTTTGTAGTGCTATAGTTAAGTAATCCAAACAGGGTTGGGATTATTTAAAGGGTTCCGGTACTACATGTGGTACCGGAACCGCCGTTGTTAATTCGCCTAGGACACAAAGATAAAGGAGTCCTAACTTGGAAGAAAATTCCTATGCTAGGATTTTCACTAAAAATATATATAATTTGCCTGAAAACTTAGCTAAAATACCTAAAAATTTAAGCAAATTGCCTTAGAAACAGGAAATTTATTCTTTTATTTTAGGCAATATCCCTTACCATCTAAGGTGTATTAATTAATTATATCATTTTCTTTAAAAATATCAGTTAAAGAATTCACTAATTTAAAAGGGGAATATTCCTCTGAATTCATTTCAAGCAGTTTGCCTTAAAAAATCAATGGTCCTATATTTTTAATTTCATTTCATTTGTTCGTAGATGCTGACCTCTCTTCTAATAATTTTTAATGAAATACGTCCTCTCCCTCTCAAATAGAAAGAGACTGAATGATTAGGCATAAAATTTCAGAGGAACGTGTCGGCATCTCCACTCCTACACGATTTCAAAAATATGTATTCTTGGTAAAAGAAAATACTGTTTATTAAAACGAATAAAAAAAGTTAAGAATATCTAATTCTTAATATTAAAAATATTAACAATTGTACTAAGAAACCAACTAGGATTTCCTTGAAAAATATTTAATGTTTGGATTGAAACATGCACCTTTTTAAAACAAGGAATGTTTCTTAATATTAGAATATTTCTAAAACTACAAAATTCTTTTTCAAAGAAGTTAAATATTTTTAGTTTAAATACAGGGTGTTATGTAATTAATGTTATATATTAAAATACTGAATACCTTTTGACATAAGGAATAAAGGAAAAATATTTAAAAAAACATTTTTCTAAAGATAAAGAAAAAATATGCATTAGAAGTTTTTTTATATTTTTTGTGATACGTCACTGGTTACACACTTAGTTTAACTCTGCACACTTGTATTTTTTGAGTACATAGATACCAACCAACAAAGTAGCTATGCGTTACTAAAAATTTTTCTTGCAAAAAATAAATAAAAACTCAATAAATACAAAAGTTTTATGCCCTTAAAGCTCTAATACCCTTCTGTATTTATTAACTGATCCAGCTATTAGCTTAAGCAATGATTAGAAAATTTAGTACCTTTTAAATTTGAAATCCATAATCACAAAATTTATTTTTTCATCAGTTTTTTTCTCTGTTTACTCAGGTGAAATTGGGACCAGTTCACAGGTTAAACTTTAAACATTCGCCGCGTCTAGAGTCCCGTCAGACGGTTCTCTATTGCGCTCCCGTTAACAGAGTGACGTCATCCAATGACGCAATCTTAGGACGGGAAGCAGATCTTTTTTCCTTAACCAACGTCCCGAGTCCGCCCGCTTCGAAACCAACCCAAACCCAACAACCCAACCCAACCGACCCCGCCCCATTGGCCCCCCCCCGCCCCATTGAGTAAAAAGGAATATTCATTTAATTACATTTTATATTATATAACTAGCAAAATGATTATGAGGAAAGGTAAATAAATTAAAATATTAATGTAAAATTAAATATAAATGCTTTTAAGGCCACATTGTATAATTTCGGTATATAAATTCTTAAAAAAAAAATTAAAAAAAGTTGTACAGGCGCGAAGTATCGAACCACGTACCTCTCGCATGCAAAGCAGGTGCCCTTCCATCGAGCTACCGAGGTTATTGTAATAATCCTATCGTTCGTTAAATAATACCTATTTACAGTGTGTGACGTCACAAAGTTTGAACGGGAGCGCAATGGAGACCCGTCTGACGGGACTCTAGACATTATGTTAAACATTTAATTGGTATAAATAAATCCAAAAGCACTTCCCTTAGTTAAGATATTTACAATTTGAAAACATAAACTAAAATTTAAAAGAAATGCACTAGATTCTGTCATAAAAGTTGACAGATTTTGTTTGAATTTACCTTCAGTACAAAAATGACATAATCAACAATTAATAAAAACGCCAAATTGACAATTTGCATTGTTAATTTTGTCATTTTTGTAATTAAGCTAAATTTAAACAATGTTTGTCAACTTTTTTGAGAGATTTTGGAAACACTGTTACCAACCATAACATAATAAATCCACCAGATTAACCTAAAGTTCCTAGTCGATCAGTGGCGTACTTTTTGGTAGGATAAAGGTTGATATAAATTATTTTTAGACTTTGGAATTTAGAAAAAAAAAGTTTCAGGTGCTTCTTTATGGACCCTAAGGAACAACCAATTTTAATATATAACATTAATTACATATATTCTTATTTTAAAGCAAGTTGACTTAAATTAAAAAAATATGTTCAAGGTGATAGGTGTTTATAAGAAATCTGTTTTTTCAGTGTATCAAGTGGTTTTATAATCTGAACTGTTTTTGATGGGCCGACGAAATTATATTGAAATTGATTAGGTAGTCCTTTAAGAGCTCTATGTATCGATTGTCCTCTTGTCCTTAAGGAAGAGCGATTGCCGAACTTAGATTAAACCTTACGAGAACGATTTAATAGTTTTTGATTTAAACTAAGTGTTTTATACTTGAAAGTTGACAAGTGTTCATAATAGTCTTACTAAAATAGCCACTGGATGGATAAAATCATGGGCGTCCCTTAAGGGAGGGCATTTATATCTCTAGAAATTATTGAAAAAGGGGGCAGTCCAATGGTGCAGCAACTTCGGATTCTTATTCTCTTCAGAGACATAGAAACTCAAGCTTTTCGAATTTTACTGGCAATGATTTTCGTTAATGTCCGGACATGTCCTCGAGAATTATAAAAAACATTGGTTACTGTGATGGCTACAAGATGGCGATAGTGTTAAAATATGTTTATTTTAGAATAGAAGTATAATTTCGATTAAATCGATTTATTATAAGAAAAATAATACCATTTATTATTGAATTTTGAAAAACGTGTGAAGTTTAATTTATCTAAAATTCCGCAACAGTGTTGCCACAACACCTGCTTATTTCCTTGGATGTAGGCGTGCCTGCCTCGCATATGCTAATACGAGAGAAGGAGACAACTATGATATCGCATTGTAATAGAACGAGACAACAAGGCTAACGCCAATCGTGAGTCTAAATTAGTTCAGGCAAATTTATTTGATACAAGAATTTTTTTTTCTGTGTATAGATAGTAAAGCAAATTTAAATATTAAAAAGTTACCTGTTAATTGATCTACCGTTCTGTTGAACCTCGTGTCAGCATAGGCGTCCTTGATGTTCAGCACTTCTCCAGTCATGGCCACCTGTCCGGCTATGCCTGTGCCCAACGGGAACCTGATTTCCTTCGAGGTGTGAACCCTGAGGAACTCCTCGGTGTCTCCCGCGACTTTTCCATCGTCCTCCTCCTGGTTTTCTATGCCAACGTCGAAAATGGTAGCGTACAGCTCCTGATTTTTCGCGTCGACGAGGAACAAGGAGGCTCTGTCCGCGTCCACCAATCGCTGAGCGAAGTTCATTATTTTTATTACCAGCGCGTCCATGCTCACCATGTCCTGGAAAATGGACCTGGAAAAATAGAAAACGTTGATTTTTTTTTGGATGAAACTTAACTTGTAAGCGATTAATAAAATAATATTATTTAACTTAAATTTAAAATTTTAATGACTTTTATTAAATGTTCAGTGTCTTATTGGGACAAAAACCTACGATTTGTCAAAGTAATGAGATTATTTTAATTTACAGAATAAACTTTTTACACTGTTAATAAAATTCTTATTTACTATAATGAAGCAGCAATATTGAGCCTAGACATTTTTTCCGTTGCCTTACGTCCGTCGCGTTACCGATAGAATATTTAAAAAAACATATTTATGGCAACTTTTTTGGCACTCACGTGATTAACAAATGATGTTCGGACGTACACATTACCCAGCTGAATTTATTTATTCAATCAGGAAGAAGATATCGGTTGAAACAGGTGCGGGTAACGCGAATGTAATAATTGTTTGTCCGCTAAGTTACTCAAAAAAATAATAAAAATAAGGTCAGAAAAAAAAACTATTTTTCATGTTTATGTTTATTTTAGGGCATTAAAGCTCATTAAGAGTAATTAATGACTGTAATGGTTTATTATTAATTTTTAAATATGGTTTCACAAAACTTTGTCCACTGCGTTACCGAGTCCATTACGTTACCTTATAGTAACGCAATGGAATTTAGGGTAACGCAATAGACATTTTCGACAACAAAGTGGATATTTACCGTCGCTTTTATTAAAAGTAGTTAATGATAAACCAATTTAAAATTATTTGTGATTACAACTCATGATATAGATTACATCCAAGGGAAAATTCTACGCAATATACAAGTACTTAAAGACACCAGCTTATAGTCAAAGAAAAAGGGTGTATATAATTTAGAAATCTAAGTTGTTATTCTGCAAGTAAGCACCACTACAAGGGATTTTGTTTATGCATTACTCTAAAATCGTACCACCCTATATAGTTTTTTACGTTATCTGATTAAGTCCTTAAAGGACAAAGTTTGTGTACCCCAGTCCGTTGTGATACCAATGTCTATTTCGTTACTTTTTTAGTTTTTGTTAAAAACATCCTTAAAATGATTTTACTATCACTTGGTAATACCTGTTTATAAATTAGAGTTTAACTCACCAATACAGTGACTAAAAGAAAATATTAATGGTATTGTTTTTTTAACAAAGAATCGGAATGGTGTCTTTTAAAAAGTAACTTAACTAACATAAATATTTAAAAAAGGCATACAATTTTTAATAAAAAATAAAATTGGAGTCAAAAGTTTGTGAACCAAGTACATTTTATTTCAAATTATTTTTATAAGAACTTTTTTTATTGAATTAAATTTTGGATTTCAAATTGGTAAAACAGTGGAGACATATAAAGCTAGCTAAACACATTTTTCTGAAAAAAACGTAAAAAAAAATTAAAAAGTGCACTGCCTGTCTTAAATGTAAGTAAACAAAACTCTAAACATTTATAAAAATCCAACCAAAAGTCAATTTAAGCAACAAAAAATTTTGATTTTCATTTTCCTGAAAGCGGGTGTTTCTTGAAAATGACCCTAATACTACAAAACGTTTTTGTAAACGGTATATATATATATATATATATATATATATATATATATATATATATATATATATATATATATATATATATATATATATATATATATATATAACTGTTTTTTGGACAAATAATAATAACTATATTTATCAATGCAATTTTTAATCTATAATGATGGAAAAACTGTCTGGAAATGACAAAGGAAGTAAAAAGGATGAGTAAACACAAAAGATGCGTTCTTATTATTTCTTCTTAAATACGAAGTTTTCAATTTACTTTATCTTGTTAAATGGATCTTATATAAATTGGAATTTCCTTTGGTTTTAAAAATGTTATATATAACTTTTCTTGAGTGATTGATATGAAATGATTATTTTGTATTTGAGAAAATTAAATTTTTCCAAAGCCAGGTTTGCAGGTTGCTAATAGGATTTTTAATGAATAAAAGTTTATTTATAGCCATGTTTTTTTACAATAGTGCATACAATATTTTATAATAAATTTATTTATTTATTTAGCCAATCTTTAAAAATAGTTTTACATAGTAAATATCAAAAATATTTTTTTTTTAATATTTTAAAATTGTATCCATCTTACTTACTTGACAACTGCCAACAAAAAATCGTTAAGTCTCTTCTGTTTGTTCATATTAAGATACAAATGCGCGTAATGCAGGGCAATTCCACCCCACACCAAATAGCTGGAAGCAATTTCTTCGTCTTCTTCATAAAACGGTCCTCCAGCTTCTCTTCTAAGAAGCTCCAAAACGGCCACCAGTTGCCCATCTGGTTGGATGATTGGTTGGCACTGAAAATGTGCCATTTCTCCCTGAAAATGGATTAGGAATGTTAAATATAGTTTTATAAAAACATGCAAAAAAGTATAGTAATTGGACATACAATTTTTATATAAACATAACAACTTTACATCAAATAACATAAATTGTTAAATATTTTTTAAAGATAAAATGCTGTTTTAGGTAATTTTTTTATTTCGTTTTTGTAAATATAATATAATTCATGTATTTCTTTCTCGGATTCCTCATCCCTTTTCTGGATTTTGAAGGTAACTACTAATGTGTTAATTGTCCAATAACTATAAAGTGTTCAATAACTGTCTACTTTACCCTATAGTCTTTTCATATTGACGCTTCTTGAAATTTATCTAGGAATTTTTGTAGGCAATATATTTTTAATATAAAATGACACAAGAAATATTTTGGTGGGGTAAAGTCTAGTTAATACGAATATATTCAGTGGAATTTTTGATATTGCCTTTTTTATGCCGCAGGAAAATTTAATATACTACCTATGCCATGTTTTCTCATAATAATACTTCGATTTTTTCCAATTTTCTTTCTAAATTTCTTCTACAAATATGAATTGATTGATAATAAGGTTATAACCACAGACCTACAAACAAGTTTGTAGGTCTGTGGTTATAACAATTGTTAAAAATATTATGTAGAAAAAACTATTAACATTTAATAGCGGTTGTTATGGAAACACATCAAATAAGGGAAGTAAAATTGACATGGTAGACCTATTTATTTAATGACAGTTCGGGATATTCCCAATTCTCTAGATAATTATCGTGTGCTTGCATGAGGATTAGCGGCCGTTGCTGCTAACACATTAATTTCATTATTTCCACCTGTTACTGTTGCTCGACGAACTCTTTTTTTCCCGTTTGTAGTAAACTGCTTGACTGTGCGGTGAAATGAAGTACGTGATCGAATTTTATCCGGAAAACGCTGAGCGTAGATATTAACAGCATCATCAAGATTCCTGCCTGCTTCTCCATAAATCAAAATCATTTCTATTTTTTCTTCCACTGTTAAAAAATCCATTACGAATAACTGCTTAACGAAAGAAGGTCATTTTGTTTGCAAATTAATGAATTAATTAATGTACGAGGTGTGTTCAGAAAATATCGGGAATTTTCGTTTTTTGAAAAAATATTTATTTTTTTGTCTACATTAATGTTGTCGCCTTCAAAATAGTCCCCATTGGATATTATGCACAAGTGCTAGCTCTTCTTCCAATACTCGAAACCCTTCTAAAACATGATCTTTGGGATAGCCTTTAGTTCTTTCAGCGATGCGGTTTTAATGTCATCTATGCTTGCAAAACGACGGCCCTTTAAGGTTCTCTTTATTTTTGGGAATAGGAAAAATTCAGACAGAGGTATGTCTGGCGAATATGGAGGCTGGGGCATCATTACAGTATTGTTTTTGGACAAAAATTTTGTTCAAAATTTAACAATTTTGGAACTAATTTTGCTGTCACGCGTTTCATACCCAAAACATTCGAAAACATTTCATGAGATGAGCCAATCGATATACCAACATCATCAGCGACTTCTCTGATGGTTTATAACCATTTCTTCAACTTTTTCCATGTTTTTATCGGTTGTTAATGTGCTTGTGCGTTCGGGACGTTCGTCATCTTCAACGTCTTCACGGCCATCTTGGAAACTCTTATACCACTTGTAAACTCTTGTTTTACTTATAGCAGACTCACTATAGGCCTTTGTTAACATTTCACAGAATTTATTTGATTTTTTAAGCAAAATTGGATACAAATTTATTTGATCCATTTCTTTTAACGAACTAAAATCGCCGAGCTAATAAAACACGTCTCACCTTAGCGGCTGCCACAGACAAAGTAAACGATGAAAACAGCTAAAGTTTTTATCATACTTCGGGGGCATGTATACCAACATAATAAAGAAAATTTTATGACAACCGGACCCTCAGAACCCGCGAAATTTAACATTTCCCGTTATTTTCTGAACACACCTCGTATACTAGATGAAACCAAAAAAACTGTGTTTGTTTTTTATCTGGTTATACATTATATACTAAAAACTCTTTGTTCCGCCCCTGTTTCTAGTGTCCAAACTACTTAAACTAAGTCCATCTCGACTTGGGAAACTTCTATATTGACCTGTAATTTTTAATTTGACTTCTTGAGCGCTTCAAAAGGAAGGAAAATGTCTAAAAAATACGTGCCGAAATACATTTTAACGAAATCCTTTTGCACACACATAGAGATAATTGGGAACAAGTTTTCAAACTGGCATTTCCTTTTAGACCTTGCGTTAGTTTTCTGGCGAAGTAAAAAAGAACAAGTAAAAATATAAAACAACAAATTTGACAAAGTTAAAAGGAAACTTAAATTTAATCAGTCAGCATGTTGTCTCTGTTACCAAGAACGTTTTATGGCCGGCAAGATAACCAGATTCATCTCCATTTGACTTATTCCCAGGGGGTGCCTTGATATAAAATCAAAGTTATTTATGTTGCAACTAATCTACCAACCCAAAGTATCCCACTAAGTTGTAATAAATTACCGAAGCAGGTGGATAGCGGAAATTTTATTTACGACTTACTTAAAACAACCAACCAAAGTAAAACTGCCGTATTTTAGCGGACGGCAAATAGCGTAGGTGCTAAGAAAAGAAATAAAAACACAAATAGATAAAATCCACATGAAAATGGCAATGTGTCGTGTAAATTATATTTTATACACAAATCGTATGACCTACGAAGTCAGTTTTGCTCAAATTTGAATATATGCATGCAGTTTTATGTACCGTAAAATACATTTGGAAATTTTGTATGTAAAACGCCAGTACTTACCGAGTGTATTTTATGGAAATTACGCTATATACACTTGGGTTTTATTGCTTTTTATAACATAATTTTATATTAAAGTTTTATTGGTTACCTGTGCAAAATGAAAAGACGTCTAAATGGGGAGTTACAACTTATTTCTCATGTCTACTTTCTGCACGATTACATCTTTTCTACATACGAGGTGTGTTCAGATAATATCGGGAATTTTCGTTTTTTTGAAACAAATATTTATTTATTCGTCTACATTAATGTTGTCGCCTTCAAAATAGTCCCCATTGGATGTTATGTACATGTGCCAGCTCTTCTTCCAATACTCGAAACACTTCTAAAACTCGATCTTTGGGATATCCTTTAGTTCTTTCAGTAATGCGCTTTTAATGTCATCTATGCTTGCAAAACGACGGCCCTTTAAGGTTCTCTTTATTTTTGGGAATAGGAAAAAGTCAGGCAGAGGCATGTCTGGCGAATATGGAGCTGGGGCATCATTACAGTATTGTTTTTGGCCAAAAATTTTGTTCAAAATTTAACAATTTTGGAACAAATTTTGCTGCCACGCGTTTCATACCCAAAACATTCGAAAAAAATTCATGGGATGAGCCAATCGATATACCAACATCATCAGCGACTTCTCTGATGGTTTATAACCATTTCTTCCACTTTTTCCATGTTTTTATCGGTTGTTAATGTGCTTGTGCGTTCGGGGCGTTCGTCATCTTCAACTTCTTCACGGCCATCTTGGAAACTCTTATACCACTTGTAAACTCTTGTTTTACTTATAGCAGACTCACTATAGGCCTTTGTTAACATTTCACAGAATTTATTTCATTTTTTAAGCAACATTGGATACAAATTCTTTGATCTATTTCTTTCGAACGAATGAAAATCGCCGAGCTCATAAAACACGTCTAACCTTAGCGGCTGCCACAGACAAAGTAAACAATGAAAACAGCTAAAGTTTTTATCATACTTCGGGGGCATGTAAACCAACATAATAAAGAAAATTTAATGACAACCGGACCCTCCGAACCCGCGAAATTTAACAATTCCCGTTATTTTCTGAACACACCTCGTACAATAAAAAAATTTTTAATAGATGGCGCTGTAATGAAAAAAAATCAATTTTGTTCGATTTTTTCTCTGTTTACGATTCTGCAATAATTTTTCTACATAATATAATTTTTTTTGGTAATAATTATCTTATTAAATTAAATCTAATTTTTTAAGTACCCACGATTTTTTAACTAATATTTAAGTTTCCTTTGGTTTAAGTTATATACATTATTTCATTCGGTGATAAATTAAAGGATTATTGTACTATTTTTAATAAAAATACTTCATTTAAGGTAAAAAAAAACCATTATTTTGTCAATTAATTAATTTAATTGAGGCATAAAAAATGGTATTAAGTTATAAATTATAATTATTATTGAGGTATAAAGAAACTATTTATAGTTTAGCATTATTTATTCAATTTAGTTTAGAAGATTAATTTGCAAACAAAAGACCTTCTTTGGTTAAGCAGTTATTCATGATGGATTTTTTAACAGTGGAAGAAAAAATATAAATGATTTTGATTTATGGAGAAGCAGGCAGGAATCTTGATGATGCTGTTAATATCTACGCTCAGCGTTTTCCGGATAAAATTCGATCACGTACTTCATTTCACCGTACAGTCCAGCAGTTTACTACAAACGGGAGTGTTCAACCGAAAAAAAGAATTCGTCGAGCAACAGTCACAGGTGGAAATAGTGAAATTAATGTGTTAGCAGCAACGGCCGCTAATCCTCATGCAAACACACGAGAATTATCTAGAGAATCGTATACAGAAGAAAAACGAACTAAATTGATTTGTTTCATTACAGTGCGATCTATTACAAAAATTAAAAAATATATAGACAAAATCTACCTATTTTTAGTCGAATGATCCGAATCTGTATAAACTCTCTACTATCTTCTCTATTTATTTTTGGTCTGGTTCTATTGATTTTAAGCCAGTTTACTTAGGACCTGATCGTAGACGAAGAGCTCGAGTAAAAATCCCATGGGCATTGTTAAATTTATAGTAAACCGTCCACAATTACAATTAATTGACCTCGGTAATTTCAGTGAATATTATGTTTGGCAGACTACACGTCCGAATCCCTCTTGACCAAAATGTAGACAAATATTTGTATTAGTACCTACCTAA